TAAAATGACAAATTATTTCTAGAAATTAGGGTTATGCTGTGAAAACTGAGACATATGGTTATTTTACAGCAGTTTAGGGTATATATTTGCATATTATTAGGGTAGGATAGCATTAGGATGTATTTGCATTAAGGATTTATCTGCATTAAGGTACTGTAAAATAAATTATCTTTTACTTAACATATTTCTGTGCATATTTATTGACTAGCTCTCTATCAGAATCAAAAACAAGACTGGATTTTCTATAGCAGACATATATATTTAGTGAAGTATGAATAAGATCGTTACAAAATGAAAGGCAGTTTTAATATGAATGGCTAATGTTGGAAAGAAATATTTATGTAGCTGTTTTATGTAAAATTACTCAATAACATTTAATAATGAATGAAATATAAGTAACAGCTTCTAAAAGTCAAATATGAAATAAAAATTTGTAAAACGGCTACATGTGTAACTATTCATTTGTTAATCACTGTGGCAAATGAATAGTTAGAGTGTTTAGTAAATGCTAGTGATTATTAAATACTCTACGTATTTATTTGCATTACAAATTAGAGATTTTATAAAGTATATGAAATTGAAAAATTTTTAAACACATAACTAATATATGTTAGTTACATGACGTTGGATTAAATATATGGCAGTAGAATTGACAAAGCACACCCGACGCAAAGTTAGTTTCTTTTATATTAAAACACAAAAGGAGGACTTACTCAAGTTAGCCATAAGCATGAAACCTGATCGTATTAAAGAAATATAAAATTCAATCCGAAACTTGGGCTGTACAAGTTCATCTTAAAACGAATACGCAAGAAATCCTAATATATCCATGTTCCATATTTCACTTTACGCCGCGATTAGCACGTAAGATAACGTGCTGTGTTCCGGCATTCATAAGATAGTTGCTTCGAGGAGCGCTGAGAGTAAAGAATTACATCAGCTGGGCGGTGCAGGATTGTACTAATATATCAATCGGAAGAAATATCTTCTGTATGTAATTTAAATATGTTAATGTAGTGATCACTCCCAAAATTTTTAACTCCACCCATTTATCCGAATTTAATGGTTTTTAGATTTGAAATCAAGCATTCTGATTGGCTAGAATTTTTAAATTGTTATTTTTTTTGTTTTTATTTCCCGGCCGTTTGCGGCGAGCCCCCTTCGTTAGAAGTACAGCATTATCCTCTTCTGCCGCGCGTTAGCGCGGCCGCTCCGCGGTTTTTTTTTTTTATTTTTATTTCTGGGCGTGGTTAAGGGCGGGGCTATTATATTTCAGCCAATCCAATCTGTCTGAAAATGATTGACATCTATTTGTCAGGCGTCTTGCAGAACAAGCCAGGAACGTTTTTCTTTTACTTCGCAGGTGTAATAATTACACGAGATCAGTCAGGTATGGAACATGTAGATGGATAGAACTCAAGAATATTTTTTCTACTTATATGCGCCCTGTTGGGACACACACTTCATCTCTGTTAATCGCCTTAAATGGATAAAAGTAGGTCAAGTAATATATTTTCATTAATACGACACTTGAAGTTCAAAGGTATGACCTGACCTGCCCGTATCGTTTTATAGTAGCATAGTAAAAGTGCCGATGCGGAAAAAAAAAGTTTTCCTTTTGAAATAGTTCGTAGTGATTTAGAATAGCGAAGTATTAGCCGATTATTGTGGTGTGAGTTGGATGTGATAGTAGTTATTGTCAAAGTATGGAAGAAAAGTCGACAATTGAAGAAGTGGATGCTACTGATGGGAAATGAACCGCTATTCATTTGGCCAACCGCTTAAACTAAAACTGGAGTGCTTTTCTGTGTTACAATGACTCTGCATTAGTGCTTTCAGTTTTTATTTCTACTATGCTGTTTACGAAGATGTAATATTTATTGTGTGTTTTCTCATCGTTCTCTCTCGTTCGTGTCGTAGTGAATTAATAGTAGTAAATATTGGAATAGTTGTGTTATCGTGTTCTTTAAAGACAAGGATTCCTTTCATCATGTATATTCTTCAGTTCTACGTCTTAACTTTCCAGTATGTGTGCAGTATATAGCGAATAATATACGCCGTTCTCTCTTTTAGATATTGTGTTGATGTTGGTTTCTATTGCTCACTTTCAACTTCGCGATATACTTCATGTTTTTTAAAAATCTGCACAATGTATATGCTCAAAATAAAAATATTTTGATATGGATTTATTTTCTTAATAAGAGCACTATGTTTATACCAAAAATAGCTGCTGTAGAGAAATCTGCACATGAATGAATATGTTGTGAAGCAAAAGAGAAATTAAGAACTGTGATTTATTCGGCCAAATCAAACACCAGTCAGTTACAACCAAATCACTAAAGCTGTAAGTGCTGTTACATATGGAAAACGTAGTTCATGTCATGACATTTTTAACAGTTATTGAGCATAGTATTCAATATAAAAGAAAACATAATGCAACCTTTTTTTTTTTTTTTTTTTTTTGTTGTTGTTGTTTTTTCCATCCTCTTTAATTGCTTTCAGTTTCTGCCTTGCAGTGAGGTAGTTTGGCACAATTCATTTATATTAAATATCTTAATTTTGTTGATTGCCTGAACTCAGTAGTTCTTAATTTCATATCACACATGCCTAGTGCTATTTTCACGCATGAAGCTGCTGAAAAATTATCAGTAAAGACATAAAGTAAGTAATTTAGATCAAATTTTTCATAAAGACAAAAAAATGAAATTAATAATTCATATATTTTAGATAATCCTGTAAATGCAATAACGTATTTAAGAAATGTTAAAACCAGAACTTTTCAGACAAGCAATACCCCTACTTTATTTATATATATATATAACGAAAAAGTAAGCTCTACACAGCTGTTTATTAAAAGACTTGAATTTCAGAATGTAAAAAAAAAAGTAGAAGAAATGCTATGCTGGAGCAGATCTGCATATATATTTAAATTCTCTAAACATAAATAACTATCCAGGTAAGTTGATTTAGGTATGGCTTTCTTTTATTGAAAATACTTAATTACATAAATGGGAAAAGGAAACAAAGAAGTTTTATAAATTTTATTTCTACACTAAATAATGTCACACAGAATCAAAACACATTGCAGGAAAGTACTGGAATCATTCAGTGAGGCAATACAACTGTTGCCACTTACACTGTATGTAAATAGCTATTGAAATGCAAATTAACCCTCGATATCTATTTCAGAGTGGGGCAGGCAGATGCAATAGAATTCATTGTTCAAAAGAGTTCTGTTGTGCTGAAGTGATCACTCAACTTATAAAGTGGTCAGATCAAATTGCATCCTGTATAGCAAGATGGTGCATGTTTAGGGTAAAGAATGTTCAAGAACTTAGCATTGTTCAACTAAATCTGTAATATATATAAATAGGAATGTAGTTTTTATTGAAAGGTAAGTTTATTCCATAAGTAATAGGAAAATTTGTAGGATAAAAGCATTTTTCAAAAACCATATTTTTCTTCTTAGTTTTTCTTTCTGGTGTATAAATGTTTTTTTTATAATAATTGTTTTGGAAAAAAGAAGGATATCCCATAATTCTAAATGCTTGGTGAAGGCTTCCACTTATCATAGTGGATCTTCATGTGAATATTTTACTATGTATTTGAAATTTTCATCATGCATGTGCTTTGATTACGTTTTACCCTTTTATGTTGAATATAAAATTGGAAATTCTATGAGTATTTATTGTGTTTAAGTGTTTATATATATTTTTTAAAAAGAAAAATATTCTGTAATTCCAAATGCTTGGTCTATCATATGAAAAACTAAATAGTTTTTTTTTTCAAACTTATTAATCATATTACATACATGTTCTGAGCTGGAAAGTTGGAAGAGTGTTCTTGCTGTGGATTAGAAATGCTTACTGACATAGCACTCTTAATTTAGAGAGTATTCCTTGATGGATACCGAATTTATTGCAATTTATATTGAGTGACATAATCAGATTTAAACATGAATGCAGTATCAGTTCTCATTTGAGTAGTCAGTATCGCTTTCTGATGAGGTAGAAAAAATAAATAAGCAGTTGCTGACATACCGAAAGACAGCTATGTTCATTGTTGTACCTGATAATTAGAATCTTGTTATCATCATTGAACTAGTAGTACAATATTTAGAACTACTTCCATTTAAGCATATTTGAAAAATTTACATGAAAGTGAGGTAATACCTTGTGTTTAGAAACAAGAAGTCATCTTCACTTTAATTAGGTCATTTAATGCAAATGGAATATCATCTCACACAGCTGAAATCTGATGGTTATGAGATGCAACATTAATTCACTTTGTGAAAGGAAAGGACTTTCATCGAATTTGTTGTTACTACTGACAAAATCAAATGTTTTATATTCGATAAGTGCACAGAACCAGAAGTTCAAACGATTCGTGATGCATACACCTGAAAGCAACAAACACTGATATGAAGACATTTTGCTGAATTTGATAAATAGCAAACTTATGGAAAAACAACTGCATTGAAAGCTATTAAGGCTGATGTCAGCCAATGAATTTTGATACCAAGGAATCATGAAAGGCAAAGCATAGACTTATTTCACCTCTCATTATTGTGCGTATATAGGATTAGATCCACATTTTGAAAGAAAGAAATTGGATGCAGAGCAACAAGGATAAAGATGAGCTGAGATGTCAACTTGCAAAGTTGAAGTATATCATTAAATTCTTTTGCAAAGAGTAAGTGTGAATTCCTTTAAGAATGCCTATGTGAAATGAGTGATATGTGGCATAGAATTTAAGGATAAGCAGGCAACAGCTAATCTTTATCATTAGGGCCTTTTTTTATAAAGAAAGCTTTGAAAATTTATTTAGAGCTGGTGTACTTGGTGATAGCTTTGGTACCTTCCCCAACAGCATGTTTTGCCAGTTCATCAGGCAACAACAGTCGTACTGCAGTTTGAGTTTCTTGCCTAGTGATAGTACTCCTCTTATTGTAATGAGCTAAACGAAAAAATTCTGCTGCAATTCTCTCAAAGATGTGTCGTTAACGAAGGAATTCATGATGGACATTGCTTTGCTGGAAATACCAATGTCGGGATGAACCTGTTTCAAAACCTTGTAGATATAAATAGCGAAAGATTCCTTCCTGCGCTTCTTCCTCTTTTTCTTGTCACCAGCTCGTTCTCATCCATCTGCTTTAATTTCCATCCAACCTATCTTGGAGAGAAAAAGTTCATTATAGTATATGCATATTCAAATTATTTTTATTACAGTTGACTATTACACATATTGTGGGTTGTAGTTATTATTACCTTCTAATTTATTGTTCTCCACCCAGCTATAAAAAAAAATCTGTTTCCCAATGAGAAATGCTTCATAACCTTTATGATTAATAAAAAAAAAAATATCACAGATGTGTCACATCAAGTAAAGGAATACTTTTGAACTCAGAGTTTTGGGTTACTTACATGTTATTTATTTCTGTATATTGTAAAGGTCAACGGCCATACTATGCTGAAAGTACCGGTTCTCCTCCGATCACCGAAGTCAAGCAGCATCGGGCGCAGTCAGTACTTGGGAGGGTGACCACCTGGGAACACTGCGTGCTGTTGACATATTTTGGTCTTGTTAAAAATTTTTATGCTTCCATAGTAATAATTATTTAAAACACCATTTTTGTGTGTGTACTATAGGAAACCTATACTATTCAATAAAATTAATCAGTGGGTGGAAATGCCAAAGCATCTATCGAGCTGATGACATGAAATACTGCAAGAGATCTTGATGAAAACATGAAGGAAAGTATAAGCATTTGGTGAATTGTTATTTATTTAAGATGAATTTAATTACAATATGACACTGGTAAGAAAGTAAATTAATAAGTAAACACTGGCATTCTTAAAAGTGATTAATAAATAACTAAAAAGGGAACCATGAGCCAGCCTAAAGGTAGAAAGCTTTTTAAAATAAGATAAGCATATCATATAAAAATAAAAGCTCAGCATAAAGTAAGTCTATATATATATATATATTTTTTTTTAAATTATAAAATTTATATACAGATGGTCTCATTATAGGAGATAACATTTGGGCAGAAAGAGTTCATCTATTGAGTTTGCATATTGTATTTCAGGTAACTTGGTACTGATTTTCTGAAGAATTTTGGCTATTGAAAGACCCTTAAATAGATTACCTATTTCCTTTAGAAGCTTGTAAACTTCTCCTAGGGAGCTTTAAGTTGAGGCTACTGGTATTAGTACTGTTTACATCAATACAACTTGTATTGACTGGGTGTCTAACATAATCGTATTTCCACTTGTTACATTTGCATAAGATAACTCATTAGTACTACGGGATCTATTACATATTATCAGTTTTCCAGTACAATTTACATAGGTCTGGAGTTAGTTTTGTTGGGTTTTGGAAATTTAGGACAACCCCTAAAATTGGCGGTGTGTCCTACTTTGAGGCAGTTGTGCAACACCTAACTACTTCTAACCTTTTAGTCTATGCATTTGTGCAATTTTCCTAACTTTGAACCCCATGTTACTTAATTCTTGTTTAATTTCATCTATCGAACAGTCTATGAGAAGGCCTCTGGCTAGTACTTTAATTAGTCGGTCATATTTTTTGGTAATGAGATAATAATCAATTTTACATCTGCCGTTATAATTGGTTATACCTCGATGAGCATCTTCTGTTTTGGGAAAGATTTTCCAAAAAATCACCCCCAAACCTTGCCCGCGAAATTTAATCCCGTATCTTGCTTCATATTTTTCTTGAAATCTGAATACTGAATTGGTGGTTGGGCTTAGGCAACATTTTCAACATATTATTTTCATTGCTGTCCGAAACATCTTTGGGTAATTCATGAAATTTATTACTGAGGGGAATTTCAACATTATTCTTTATCAATTTAGATGGTCTGGCCGTTTTTTTTTACTCGATTTTTTGACGGCCGTTTAAGCTTAGAAGTCATAAGAGAATTATTATCAGAAATATTAACATTACGGGTATGAATATCCTCCATAATGATAACACAGTCACTATTAGTCTTCACCTGATTAGGGGTATCAATAACATCAACATTGCAAACAGCACTAGAATTTTCATTAACATTATATTCATCATGCAAATTAAGAACCAGTCCACCATAATTAAGTTTAACAATATTATGATGTAATTCACAAAATGCTTTGCACTTATCTTGAAATAAAATTGTTAGCTCTTCACAAATAGTCCTAATTTTCTGGTATTGTTCTATGCCAGGCGACATTGTTTTCTGTGTAAAGAGAGCGTGGCGAATTTTTACGTAATCCTTGAGGTCAGTCGGTTCTTTCAATAATAAGTCGTTACATTCGCTATTCAGTTTTTCATGAGCGTATTTAACAAGTTCATCCGGCAAACCCGACACCAAAGAATACACGAGGCGACGAGCAACAGCTTTCGCATCCTCGAAAGTTAATGGGGGGAAAATCATTTCCCGCCATCTTAATTTCACAAACATAATCCAACGGAAACACTTAGAAGTTCATCACAGTTCAAAATAAAATCCTCAATAATTAGCGCACATCAAAATATGTATAGAGATAAAAGAAGAGCACGAGGGTCGCGTGAAAATGGCGATCCACACAGAAGAGGAGCACTAACAAATAACGTCACATAAGCTCAGCATCGAATCCATATGCTACATTTATGATGACAGCAGTAGTTAACTAATTAATTTTTGTCTCTACTTAAATATAAATTTTTTAATATCTGTATAGTGAACTCAAATTCTTTATTTCTTAATTAACACAGTGATTAAATAGCGTTCCGTACGGCTTCGACAACGACCGAAAATTATATTCATTTTTCTTTTCCTGTTTCCGGATGCGGAGTCAGTTTATTTTACAGAATAAAATTTCTTGTACTCCAGAACTCTTTTCATTCATTCAATCAGTATTGCTATTGAAATGCAACCTGATCTTTTCGATTTTAAATTACATTAATTGTTTGTAATTCTATCACCCTCCTAATAATTTCTTCTTATTGGGCGAACCGACACTTTTTTCGTATAAAGCATAAAAATGCGCGTCTGGATCTGCGAGGCAGGTACTCCGTAATTTGAAATCATTGGCATTGGCGCGCGGCCACTTATCTGAAGTTTTTTTTTAGGCTGTCATATAATTTCACCTCATTCTTTTTGAGTTAAATTAAAATTAGCATTTAATTTTCTTTTTATATATCTGAATTCTAACACAATAATGTTAAAGTTCCAATTTCTTTTTGACGTATATTCTCTATATTTCATATTTCATAAATTTTTTGGATGACCTATATCTAAAGCGCTCACACATAGGACTCTCTTCTTCAGGAGCAATGAAGTCTTTTGGAGTCAGGTTTCGCTGCCTTTACAGCTTTCTTCGGGCTTTTTGCTTTACTCACCTTTTTAACACTAACTTTCTCAGCAGCCGGTTTCTTTTTCTCTTCTTTAGTCTTAGCTGGTTTCTTAGCTGGTTTAGTTTCTTAGCTGCAGCTGTTTGGTTTAGCTTTCTTGGCTGATGATGCAGCTGCTTTCTTAGGCTTCTTTTCCTGACTGACTTTACTCTTCTGACCGGATGCGCTAACTTTAAATGAACCAGTAGATCCTTTTCCTTTTGTCTGAACCAGGCTTCCACCCGCCACACGCGACGTTACCAGCTCTGCTGAAATAATGCCGCGAGAGCGGCAATTGAGATTGTAATCTGCGTGAAGGGTATTGTGGTCTGGTCAGGTCAGTTATCTGATTTAGACAGCATTTATCGGATCTTTTTCTGTTTCGTGCGAAAATGTTATATAATAATGGTAGGTGGGGCTTAGAAATCTTACCTCTACAATAGGTATTTTTAGTCACATGATCTGAAACTAAATTCACAAAAAGGCCAGGGCTAAAAATCATTTTTTCCCAATTCTGATACCTCCTATCACTCGGTCCAGTAACTGATATGTCATATGCCCTTCGGGCATACTTGTCATGAGCCGGACACGTTGCATCTAATGCAATATTTCGGCATAATTAGTAACGAATGAATGAAAAAAAAAAAATCATTTTTAACTTACTTCCCCAAGCCATGTTTTTGGGTCATTTTCTTTCTTTTGAATGCTGATATCCCATCTTTGGATCTACTTATGTAAACCTCATCACCATGCCCATTCTGGAAACATCTCAGGTTGCAGTGAAGTACTGCTGCCGCAGTAGAAACCCTGCATAATCACGTTCGTATCAAAGTATGAAGTAATTTTTAATCATTGGCATTTGCAAAGGGCATATCTTTTCGTTTTAACGAAAGCGTTACTTTTTGTCATACCTCGTACTAAGCAGACTGCAAGGAAAAGTACCGGAGGTAAAGCTCCTAAGAAGCAGCTGGCCACCAAAGCTGCACATAAAAGCACACCAGCAACCGGAGGTTGTTAAAGGTTAAAAAAAAAAAAAAAAAAAAAAAAAAAAAGGCCATTTTCAGGGCTGTACAAATAATTTAATAAGATTCGATATAATTGCTATCATTTGTTCCTCTTTTTTTTTTTTTTTTTTTTTTTTTTTTTTTTTTTTTTTTTTTAACATTACATTTTTCCGTGGCCCACCAGCGGCCGAGCGGTAAAGTCGCTGAACACTGGTAGTTCGGTCCGAGGTTCGAATCCCGCGAACGGGCTGGCTGTATGGGCGTTTTCGTGGTTTTCCCCATGTGTAACGTGTATACTAGCCAGTTTCCCTTAGAAAGTCCTCCACGAGGGCATCCCTCCTCTTAGGCAGATAGCCCTGGAGGCTTTGCCATACTCACACACACACATTTTTTCGTATTTACATTAGAAGACACTCTTTTAAAAAGATTTCTTGTGATAGCAATTATTCTAACTAATAAAATTATTTGTAATTCTTGTAAAAGGGTTTAAAAACACCAAACTATGCGTTGTAGTGACTTTCGAAATTCAAGATTCGAACTACTTTTTAGTACAAATGTATATGGCAAGATGGCGCCACTTCTAAGATGCGCTTTATTTAAACTCCGTTCACCTATAGTTTCCCACAGAAGTTTACTGATAAGTTATTGTTTTAAAATGTACTTGAAAACTTAAACGAATGTGTCCAGAATTACAGAATATTATTCTTATTAAAACTTATCTTATGAATATTAATTAACACTACTTCTCATTCTCATAAGTGGATGACAGAAACGTGAAGAGAAAAACCTGTTGCTAAATTCAGCTTTCTTCGTTATTGCTTCTCTTTCAACTGGTGCAATGTTTCATTATACAAGCTTGTGCTATATAGTTTTGCTATTTATATATATATATGTACTCATAGTATGAGTACATAAGTACAGTGAGTAACTAGTATACAATTAAAATTAAAATATACTTGATGTAAATATACTTAGTACATGTGAGTAACAAAATATAAATGTATATATACAATAAAATATACTAAAAATATATATACAAATAAATATACTTACAATATATGTATACAAAAATAATGATATATGAATGTACATACATACACTACATACATACGTACATACACACTTCTGAACATTTCTTCTCCAGAATATATAAGAGCACTATAAGAATAGTTTATACCAAAAATAGCTGCTGTAGAGAAATCTGCACATGAATGAATATGTTGTGAAGCAAAAGAGAAATTAAGAACTGTGATTTATTCGGCCAAATCAAACACCAGTCAGTTACAACCAAATCACTAAAGCTGTAAGTGCTGTTACATATGGAAAACGTAGTTCATGTCATGACATTTTTAACAGTTATTGAGCATAGTATTCAATATAAAAGAAAACATAATGCAACCTTTTTTTTTTTTTTTTTTTTTGTTGTTGTTGTTTTTTTTCCATCCTCTTTAATTGCTTTCAGTTTCTGCCTTGCAGTGAGGTAGTTTGGCACAATTCATTTATATTAAATATATTAATTTTATTGATTGCCTGAACTCAGTAGTTCCTAATTTCATATCACACATGCCTAGTGCTATTTTCACGCATGAAGCTGCTGAAAAATTATCAGTAAAGACATAAAGTAATTTAGATCAAATTTTTCACAAAGACAAAAAAATGAAATTAATACTTCATATATTTTAAATAATCCTGTAAATGCAATAACGTTTTTCAGACAAGCAATACCCTACTTTATTATATATATAGCTCTACACATATAAAAAGAATTTCAGAATGTAAAAAAAAAACTTGAATTTAGAAGAAATGCTATGCTGGAGCAGATCTGCATATATATTTAAATTCTCTAAACATAAATAACTATCCAGGTAAGTTGATCTAGGTATGGCTTTCTTTTATTGAAAATATTTAATTACGTAAATGGGAAAAGGAAACAAAGAAGTTTTATAAATTTTATTTCTACACTAAATAATGTCACACAGAATCAAAACACATTGCAGGAAAGTACTGGAATCATTCAGTGAGGCAATACAACTGTTGCCACTTACACTGTATGTAAATAGCTATTGAAATGCAAATTAACCCTCGATATCTATTTCAGAGTGGGGCAGGCAGATGCAATAGAATTCATTGTTCAAAAGAGTTCTGTTGTGCTGAAGTGATCACTCAACTTATAAAGTGGTCAGATCAAATTGCATCCTGTATAGCAAGATGGTGCATGTTTAGGGTAAAGAATGTTCAAGAACTTAGCATTGTTCAACTAAATCTGTGTAATATATAAATAGGAATGTAGTTTTTATTGAAAGGTAAGTTTATTCCATAAGTAATCGGAAAATTTGTAGGATAAAAGCATTTTTTAAAAATCCATATTTTTCTTCTGAGTTTTTCTTTCTGGTGTATAAATGTTTATTTCTTATAATAATTGTTTTGGAAAAAAGAAGAAGGATATCCCATAATTCTAAATGCTTGATGAAGGCTTCCACTTATCATAGTGGATCTTCATGTGAATACTTTACTATGTATTTGAAATTTTCATCATGCATGTGCTTTGATTACGTTTTACCCTTTTATGTTGTATATAAAATTGGAAATTCTATGAGTATTTATTGTGTTTATGATATATTTTTTAAAAAGAAAAATATTCTGTAATTCCAAATACTTGGTCTATCATATGAAAATAGTTTTTTTCAAACTTATTAATCATATTACATACATGTTCTGAGCTGGAAAGTTGGAAGAGTGTTCTTGCTGTATATTAGAAATGCTTACTGACATAGCACTCTTAATTTAGAGAGTATTCCTTGATGGATACCGAATTTATTGCACTTTATATTGAGTGACATAATCAGATTTAAACATGAATGCAGTATCAGTTCTCATTTGAGTAGTCAGTATCGCTTTCTGATGAGGTAGAAAAAATAAATAAGCAGTTGCTGACATACCGAAAGACAGCTATGTTCATTGTTGTACCTGATAATTAGAATCTTGTTATCATCATTGAACTAGTAGTACAATATTTAGAACTACTTCCATTTAAGCATATTTGAAAAATTTACATGAAAGTGAGGTAATACCTTGTGTTTAGAAACAAGAAGTCATCTTCACTTTAATTAGGTCATTTAATGCAAATGGAATATCATCTCACACAGCTGAAATCTGATGGTTATGAGATGCAACATTAATTCACTTTGTGAAAGGAAAGGACTTTCATCGAATTTGTTGTTACTACTGACAAAATCAAATGTTTTATATTCGATAAGTGCACAGAACCAGAAGTTCAAACGATTCGTGATGCATACACCTGAAAGCAACAACACTGATATGAAGACATTTTGCTGAATTTGATAAATAGCAAACTTATGGAAAAACAACTGCATTGAAAGCTATTAAGGCTGATGTCAGCCAATGAATTTTGATACCAAGGAATCATGAAAGGCAAAGCATAGAATTATTTCACCTCTCATTATTGTGCGTATATAGGATTAGATCCATATTTTGAAAGAAAGAAATTGGATGCAGAGCAACAAGGATAAAGATGAGCTGAGATGTCAACTTGCAAAGTTGAAGTATATCATTAAATTCTTTTGCAAAGAGTAAGTGTGAATTCCTTTAAGAATGCCTATGTGAAATGAGTGATATGTGGCATAGAATTTAAGGATAAGCAGGCAACAGCTAATCTTTATCATTAGGGCCTTTTTTTATAAAGAAAGCTTTGAAAATTTATTTAGAGCTGGTGTACTTGGTGATAGCTTTGGTACCTTCCCCAACAGCATGTTTTGCCAGTTCATCAGGCAACAACAATCGTACTGCAGTTTGAGTTTCTTGCCTAGTGATAGTACTCCTCTTATTGTAATGAGCTAAACGAAAAGATTCTGCTGCAATTCTCTCAAAGATGTCGTTAACGAAGGAATTCATGATGGACATTGCTTTGCTGGAAATACCAATGTCGGGATGAACCTGTTTCAAAACCTTGTAGATATAAATAGCGAAAGATTCCTTCCTGCGCTTCTTCCTCTTTTTCTTGTCACCAGCTCGTTCTCATCCATCTGCTTTAATTTCCATCCAACCTATCTTGGAGAGAAAAAGTTCATTATAGTATATGCATATTCAAATTATTTTTATTACAGTTGACTATTACACATATTGTGGGTTGTAGTTATTATTACCTTCTAATTTATTGTTCTCCACCCAGCTATAAAAAAAAATCTGTTTCCCAATGAGAAATGCTTCATAACCTTTATGATTAATAAAAAAAAAAATATCACAGATGTGTCACATCAAGTAAAGGAATACTTTTGAACTCAGAGTTTTGGGTTACTTACATGTTATTTATTTCTGTATATTGTAAAGGTCAACGGCCATACTATGCTGAAAGTACCGGTTCTCCTCCGATCACCGAAGTAAAGCAGCATCGGGCGCAGTCAGTACTTGGGAGGGTGACCACCTGGGAACACTGCGTGCTGTTGACATATTTTGGTCTTGTTAAAAATTTTTATGCTTCCATAGTAATAATTATTATTTAAAACACCATTTTTTGTGTGTACTATAGGAAACCTATACTATTCAATAAAATTAATCAGTGGGTGGAAATGCCAAAGCATCTATCGAGCTGATGACATGAAATACTGCAAGAGATCTTAATGAAAACATGAAGGAAAGTATAAGCATTTGGTGAATTTTTATTTATTTAAGATGAATTTAATTACAATATGACACTGGTAAGAAAGTAAATTAATAAGTAAACACTGGCATTCTCAAAAGTGATTAATAATATAAACTAAAAAGGGAACCATGAGCCAGCCTAAAGGTAGAAAGCTTTTTAAAATAAGATAAGCATATCATATAAAAATAAAAGCTCAGCATAAGTAAGTCATAATATATATATATTTAATTATAAAATTTATATACAGATGGTCTCATTATAGGAGATAATATTTGGGAAGAAAGAGTTCATCTATTGAGTTTCCTGCATATTGTATTTCAGGTAACTTGGTACTGATTTTCTGAAGAATTTTGGCTATTGAAAGACCCTTAAATAGATTACCTATTTCCTTTAGAAGCTTGTAAACTTCTCCTAGGGAGCTTTAAGTTGAGGCTACTGGTATTAGTACTGTTTACATCAATACAACTTGTATTGACTGGGTGTCTAACATAATCGTATTTCCACTTGTTACATTTGCATAAGATAACTCATTAGTACTACGGGATCTATTACATATTATCAGTTTTCCAGTACAATTTACATAGGTCTGGAGTTAGTTTTGTTGGGTTTTGGAAATTTAGGACAACCCCTAAAATTGGCGGTGTGTCCTACTTTGAGGCAGTTGCAACACCTAACTACTTCTAACCTTTTAGTCTATGCATTTGTGCAATTTTCCTAACTTTGAACCCCATGTTACTTAATTCTTGTTTAATTTCATCTATCGAACAGTCTATGAGAAGGCCTCTGGCTAGTACTTTAATTAGTCGGTCATATTTTTTGGTAATGAGATAATAATCAATTTTACATCTGGCGAGATAATTGGTTATACCTCCATGAGCATCTTCTGTTTTGGGAAAGATTTTCAAAAAAATCACCCCCAAACCTTGCCCGCGAAATTTAATCCCGTATCTTGCTTCATATTTTTCTTGAAATCTGAATACATAATTGGTGGTTGGGCTTAGGCAACATTTTCAACATCCCATATTATTTTCATTGCTGTCCGAAACATCTTTGTGTAATTCATCAAATTTATTACTGAGGGGAATTTCAACATTATTCTTTATCAATTTAGATGGTCTGGCCGTTTTTTTTACTCGATTTTTTGACGGCCGTTTAAGCTTAGAAGTCATAAGAGAATTATTATCAGAAGTATTAACATTACGGGTATGAATATCCTCCATAATCATAACACAGTCACTATTAGTTTTCACCTGATTAGGGGTATCAATAACATCAACATTGCAAACAGCACTAGAATTTTCATTAACATTATATTTATCACGCAAATTAAGAACCAGTCCACCATAATAAAGTTTAACAATATTATGATATAATTCACAAAATGCTTTGCACTTATCTTGAAATAAAATCGTTAGCCCTTCACAAATAGTCCTAATTTTCTGGTATTGTTCTATGCCAGGCGACATTGTTTTCTGTGTAAAGAGAGCGTGGCGAATTTTTACGTAATCCTTGAGGTCAGTCGGTTCTTTCAATAATAAGTCGTTACATTCGCTATTCAGTTTTTCATGAGCGTATTTAACAAGTTCATCCGGCAAACCCGACACCAAAGAATACACGAGGCGACGAGCAACAGCTTTCGCATCCTCGAAAGTTAATGGGGGGAAAATCATTTCCCGCCATCTTAATTTCACAAACATAATCCAACGGAAACACTTAGAAGTTCATCACAGTTCAAAATAAAATCCTCAATAATTAGCGCACATCAAAATATGTATAGAGATAAAAGAAGAGCACGAGGGTCGCGTGAAAATGGCGATCCACACAGAAGAGGAGCACTAACAAATAACGTCACATAAGCTCAGCATCGAATCCATATGCTACATTTATGATGACAGCAGTAGTAGTAGTTAACTAATTAATTTTTGTCTCTACTTAAATATAAATTTTTTAATATCTGTATAGTGAACTCAAATTCTTTATTTCTTAATTAACACAGTGATTAAATAGCGTTCCGTACGGCTTCGACAACGACCGAAAATTATATTCATTTTTCTTTTCCTGTTTCCGGATGCGGAGTCAGTTTATTTTACAGAATAAAAATTTCTTGTACTCCAGAACTCTTTTCATTCATTCAATCAGTATTGCTATTGAAATGCAACCTGATCTTTTCGATTTTAAATTACATTAATTGTTTGTAATTCTATCACCCTCCTAATAATTTCTTCTTATTGGGCGAACCGACACTTTTTCGTATAAAGCATAAAAATGCGCGTCTGGATCTGCGAGGCAGGTACTCCGTAATTTGAAATCATTGGCATTGGCGCGCGGCCACTTATCTGAAGTTTTTTTTTTAGGCTGTCATATAATTTCACCTCATTCTTTTTGAGTTAAATTAAAATTAGCATTTAATTTCTTTTTATATATCTGAATTCTAACACAATAATGTTAAAGTTCCAATTTCTTTTTGACGTGTCTCTATATTTCATATTTCAATATTTTTGTTTTTTGAACAAAAATTTAAAATTCCTTTGATGACTGTAAATAATCTATTATATCTAAAGCGCTCACACATAGGACTCTCTTCTTCAGGAGCAATGAAGTCTTTTGGAGTCAGGTTTCGCTGCCTTTACAGCTTTCTTCGGGCTTTTTGCTTTACTCACCTTTTTAACACTAACTTTCTCAGCAGCCGGTTTCTTTTTCTCTTCTTTAGTCTTAGCTTAGCTGGTTTCTTAGCAGCTGGTTTAGCTTTCTTGGCTGATGATGCAGCTGCTTTTCTTAGGCTTTCTTTTCCTGATTTCCTGACTTTACTCTTCTGACCGGATGCGCTAACTTTAAATGAACCAGTAGATCCTTTTCCTTTTGTCTGAACCAGGCTTCCACCCGCCACACGCGACGTTTACCAGCTCTGCTGAAATAATGCCGCGAGAGCGGCAATTGAGATTGTAATCTGCGTGAAGGGTATTGTGGTCTGGTCAGGTCAGTTATCTGATTTAGACAGCATTTATCGGATCTTTTTCTGTTTTCGTGCGAAAATGTTATATAATAATGGTAGGTGGGGCTTAGAAATCTTACCTCTACAATAGGTATTTTTAGTCACATGATCTGAAACTAAATTCACAAAAAGGCCAGGGCTAAAAATCATTTTTTCCCAATTCTGATACCTCCTATCACTCGGTCCAGTAACTGATATGTCATATGCCCTTCGGGCATACTTGTCATGAGCC